TTGATGAAGAGTTCTAGACGGAGGTCGGATAATTTAATTTTTCCAAAATCTGATGAATATTCCCAGGTTTCCATTTAAGTTCACTTGTCCCTGCGTCCTGAAATATATTCTCATCCAGACCGTAAGGCAATTATGCACTTAGGTGGCGAGGTCAAAAATGCATTAAAACCTGGATGAGATTATCTTTTTAGAAGCAAGGCATGGTGTTATTTAATGAAAACGTGTCAATTAATCATATCGTTGTAGAAAATTTTAACACAATTCAATCATCTCTCTATGTGACCTAGACTGGCTGGAACTCTTAGTCATTTTATTGGTTTAGTTATTCGACGCTTCCCTGAATTTATAAGAAACATTTGGCAGGCCTTCTTGAACCACTTACATTTTAATCTCATAAGGTCCTTATTCCCATCTCGGACTGGAGTCCTCCGGCTAAAATTGAAATCTTACATCCCGAGGTGCATTTTCCCTTGACCTTATCTTATGCTCTTCTTTACCTCTTCGACCTTTTCTCCAGGACTCCTCCAACTTGCTCAGCCATAGTCCAGGACCCATCAACCAAGAGCCCTATTTATGTCAACCCTACGGCTGCCCAACTATACAAGCACAAGCCAACGCCATGCAGGCGGCCCGCGGAACAGGTCTGGCCGATTGTCTCCGTCAGACGATGACAAAGTTACGGCGTCATGAGGATGAGTTGCGTGAAGACGAAGCGGACTTTCAAGGTGTCGGAAAGACTGAGAACGCCAGAGAAGACTGGAAAGCAATTGCAGAACAAGGGGACGAGACAACCACTGATACTAACTACAGTCGAGTTGCTAAGGTGCGTGGAGAAGAGGCGCGTGAGTGGCAGGAGCGTGGACGCTCTGGGATCCCGGGTGGTCCGTACGCAACGGATAAAAGATCTTGTAATTTCACTTTTAATTAGAATCTTATCACAATTTACCACTTTACTATGATTCCAGTTGAAATTGTTGCGATTCGACAATAATCATACTCCTGATAGCCGATAAAGAAATTGTATAGAAGTTGGTTGACCTTGGTTTCGCAACTTGGTCATATTAGCAGCAAGACCTAGAGAAACGCACCTTGTCCGGAGTCCATAGTATGCATGATCATTTCCAGAGTCGGACCGTTGACTTGGTACATTTCCAGATGTTTTGCCGGCATTGTAGTCGGCATCATCAGTGAGTCTTGCTAGTCTCAACAACCAAGCTACAACTCGTCTAAAAGACAAGGGAAATTAATCTCTTGACCAACTTTCTGTATAGACGGTTATGCTATCACTCCTCGTTCTCTCCTACTCTCTCTAACCATTTCATACCCTCTAGTCTTGTCTTCGTCCTATCACAACTTCTGACATGTTTATATTCCGCAAGAGATGTGCCCCCTTGGTCATCACACCTACTTTTTGCATTGCTCCTCTCTCTTTCCAGTGACTGATCATGCTCTAGTCTCCTGTCCGGATCTGCCTCATGGACCTATTGGTCCGTTTCTTATCTTTTTGTTTGACCGATTTCATTTGCTTCCAGCCTCAGTGTACTTTTACTGCAGATACTACTTCTCAATTCTTCAGTAGCACGTACAAAGTCGCCTTATATTCAGAGCGCTTATGCTCTGATTATAATGCCTGCAGATATTAGGCATCATCTCCTAGATTAAGCCCTTGTACCCTGAGCAAACTGTGGATATCCATCTCTGGTCGGCTTCTGCATCTCAAATGGATAATTAGTTCATTTGATCATAATGCCCGATTTCTGTGAGCCAATTCCTCTCCCTAGTCACGTGAAATGTCGGCCAACCAAGTTGTAGTTGCTTATTCAAGCTGAAAAAAGGCCACACCATTCTGGCCTTCATACCTTTGTTAAATAAGTACAAATGCTGTAATTTATCGAGATTGAGGGCAGGCACAAGTTTGCCAATCAATTGAATACAGAATTCCACAAGGAATTTTGTGAATTAAAAGAGGTTTTAGAAGTTGTTTGACCTTGTTTTCGCAACTTGGTCATAATGGTAGGAAGACTGATAGAAACGCA